ATATATAAAAAAATTTAATTAATTTTTGAAAATCATAAAAATCGAACTTGTTCCGAAAATCCGCCTAGATGTTAGAGATTTTTAGGGATGTTCGTATTTTTTAAAAAAAATTCAAAAATTTAAACCCTTCAAATCTTAAAACTAAAACCTTAAACCTTCCAAACCCTAAAACCTCAAGCTTCCAAATCCCAAACCCTAAAACTAAAACCCCAAATCTCAAAACCCCAAAATCAAAACCCTAAAATCCAAAATCCCACACATTAAAATCCAAAACCTTTAAATCCAAAATTTCAAATTTGACTCGTAACCCCGAATCATTACCGAAAAATCATTCAAACTTTAAAAACTCAACCTAAGCTTTAACCAAGACCATCGCGAAATTCTAAAGATACGTGTGAAAATCTCATTCAAAATAATTTATTCTCGAATGCCACCTAGACAATGAGGCATCTAAGAAATTTTATTTAATTATGTTTTTCATGCCAATCTTTAATTCGCTTTAACAATGGAATAAATAAAAAATATATATAATGGGATCTTAAATATAAATAGTCGTACTTAAACTCTGCCTAAATATTGGGGAGTTAGGGTGGTCTCGTTATATTTAAGGACCCGAATACAAAATTGTATTTCACTATCATGCGTAACACCTATTGGCATATATGTCTATTTGTTATTGTATGCACTCGCTTCACATATTTATGCCTTTAATTTTTGTTCACTACTTGTTAGTTCTATCATTTACTTTTTTGCACAAAATGTTTTTTTCAAAAAAAGAAATACTTACTTCAAAAATGTGAAATTTTAAAATAAAAAAATAATATTTTGAAGAAAATAATTCTTGGTACTCTGTCTAGATGTTGGAGAGTCACTAACAATTATCTTCTTCAAAGAATATTATTTCATTTTTAAGTAACGCCGTGGTAAATATCAGTCAAAAGAGTTATCTTTAAAATTCTATCTAGATGTTGAAGAATTTTAAGACAATTCTTTAACTTAAAGATTTTCACAATATTCCTAAATAAATAATTTTGATAAAATTAATTTTTATTTTTTAAAAAAATAAAAGATAATTATTATTAAATTTCAAATCAAACCATTTCATCCAACATCCAAAATAGTGTATGACTAAATGGTACTAATTTATAGGCGTTATGGAGGTGCTAATCATTTCCTACACGTAACCAACTCTCAGACCCAACTTAGTTTTCATAGACCGAAATTTATCTTTTGGATAAAATTTAAACTCATTTTTATAGTTTCATTAAAAAAGATAAACTTTTGGATGACCAATCACACCCTAAAAAAGATTTATGGCAACTATTCTCATTTTTTTTAATTTTAAAATTCTTTACATCTGGCGGTCCCAAATTATTACGATAGTATTGTTCACTTTACCTTGAAGATCTTACGATTTTATCCTATAAAAAAACTTGCAGGCTTAAGTTTAAACCTCTACTTCTATATTATAATAAATTTTCAAAATCTCTTGATGTAAGATTAGAACATCATATATATAATTCAAGATTAATACAAACAATATTGGGGTTGTTCCCATTGGAGGTGTGGTTTTAAAAAATTCCTAGAACAAACTTTTACATAAGATTTCACTTCTTTTCTCTCTACAAATGCTGGTGGATGATTTTTCTTTTTATTCATTTGGTTGACCAAATTCCTTTCTAATCTTTTGGGATTTGGTTTCTTTGTCTCTAATCAACAAATTTTTGGTCCGATAACCACCTACTTTTTTTCTCCTATTTTTGCCTAATTTTTTGCCCCAACACAGCAGCAATTTTAAGACTTTTCTTGACCTCATCCACCTATTATTAACTAATCTCCCAAGTTTTAATGACTTCAGGTCTTCAGCCAAAATTTCCTACATCAAACTTAATTATCTTTATTAGTATTCTGAAGCTAGAAAGCTGCCTTTGGCTAAAAAAATGAAGAAACATGTGAAGCAACTGAATCGAATTCGTTGAACAAAACAATAATCATAAGAGCTGATTTAAAGTATTTTTTAAAATTACATTCATAATCAAATATTATTCTTTTATATAATCAATTGAATAATCAATTAATACATCATAAATAAATTATAGTTATTGAATAATCAACTAAAAATTATAATATAAATAAATAATCAAACTCACATATAGTATGACTTAACCTTATAACCTAGAACCAAATTCACAAAACTTGGGACTTAAAGTAATTTTGGAACCAAGAAAATTAGGATACTTCTTCGTACCCTTCGTATCAACACTCTCTCATTTCTCTTGTTATATGTGTTTGATTGTTTGTTTTGGTTTTGTTTTTGTCCAATAAAACAAACTTAAGATGAAATAATAAAAAAGTAACTTCTTATTTGATGGAGATCATAATTTTCTTAGCAAAAGGATTGATTAGAAAAGATTATAACGGCGATCTTGCTAATTAATGGTTATTAGCATCATTTTAAAGTAGAGTGCATCCCTTTCTCAGAAAAAACAAATTGCATCCTTAATTATTTATATTGACATTATAAAATTAAAAAAAAGTCACTGCAACGTGATCATAATGGTAAAATTCAATTGCTCAAACTTATTGAATATGAATCTAAATATATACTACTGAAACGTGATACTAGTAATAATATTCAATTTGATTAATTTTTCTTGTAATATAATCAGAATATTTTTAAGTTTTAAATGTTCTCTGAACGATACGTACTATTTCATTTTTTATGCATTTTACAAAAATTGAATTTTAATCAATAGAAAATTGGACTTCCTTTTTATTAATTAAATTAATCCTTGCAGTATTCGATTGAATTCACGATTGCTCTGAAACTTGAAACTGTGAATTCATTTTTCGATGAAGATATTATCATTAGACCACCGTCTTACATGTTGTGAATGCGAAAACACGTCAATCAAAAAAAAAAAGTATCCCAAAGTCCACCTGAAATTTGCTTTCTTCAATTCCTAAACAAACAAGCTATGATAAGAGATTATTATAATTAAGATCAACCCCACAGCACGTGCATGCGTGAATCGCTACGACAAAATTTCGACATCATCGAAGGCACAAGCAAGTCCACGTTAGCAAAATAGATGTCTTGATTTTATTCTTTTTCTTTCTTGTTGGAATTGACATTGGAAATGATTAATGTTTGAGGATTATGAAAAAAAACAATGATTTAAGGTAGAAACTATAGTTGTTAAATCATGATTAGCATAAGAAACAAAAAGGAAAAAATGATTTATATTGGGAAAGAAATGGAGTGTTGGGATTGCGGGTTATTGCTTTGTTTTCAAGACCTTCTGCTATTTTGCTTCTTTGATGATGTCGATGACGATGGTGGCACTTTACATTCCACTTTGGCCTATCTCTTTCGGCCACGTGGCACCAAGTGCTTTCTTTCCGATGACATGTTCCGACATCCGCACGTATGGAATCGTCTCATGATTTTTCTCTTTACAGCCCATCTATTTGATCATCAGGATCGTTTATGTATAAAACCTAGATAATACTATGCTCTATAATCATGGCTTGGAAAGTGGTTTCCCTTTTGTTTTGTTCTGTAAAGTTCAGACTTCCCAGTAATTTGTAGCATGCCAGATCAATCGTACCCTGAAGCATGACTCAAGATCCAATATATTTGAAAATGAAACTCATTCGAATTAATATAAAAAAAAAAAATCTTACTAGTTTCTGGACATGGAACTGGATCAATGTAAAAGCAATTTATCAAAATCTGTCACTCAAATTCGGACGAATGTCCAATAACGTATTTTTTTTCTTTTTTACAGTTTGTCCAGATATTTAGAAGGTTGAAACTCGAAACCTCCGTACCCATGGTCGCTGGATATGGGTCGATCAAAATGTCGCTGGATATTGTTGGAATTGAGCCAAAGCCCTTTTGGATTTTAGGACATTGCAAGGTCAAGATGCTGATAATTGAATAATCTTGGGTTCCTTCGACGATGAACTGAATGCCTCTTAATGGAAAAGCTGGCCCAACTTTGCTAGAGTAGAATCTGATCTATGCCTACTGATCTCATTGTGAGGAACTAATCATACTGATCCTGACCAGGTTGTAGTTATTGCATGTATGGCTGAAAGTTTTGATTAATGAGAGGAATTAGTTTCATATAACTCTTACATCTCTTCATTCCTTCTGCAAGAACCTTTTGTCACTAGTTTTACCCCAACTTTCCATGTCCATTATGATTTCTTTACTATAAGCTGAGGTTATTTCTGTATTTGAAAGTTTTTGGAGCTGCAAGTTTCTGCCTGATATTATCAAGCATCAGGTTTCATAATTCCCCAGTACATTGTTTTGATTTGAACAGAAGATTTAGTACTTTGAAAAAAGCAAAAGAAAATGGTAAATACGATTTTTTTTTTTTTTTAAGCGTCTTTTGGCTTTGCTTGTCAAGCTAGTGCAATGTCATCTGACAAATTGAAACGAGGACTAAAAAACCAGTGTTCAATGGCTATATATCTACAACTGGTTTTTAAAGAGTCAATCAAACAAGAGGCTTTGTGTTCAAGTGGAGACTTTGATGGAAATAAGGATTTAAGTCAGGTCACAAACAGCAGCAGATCCAAATGGACAGCCAGATTGTCCATGAACCATAAGGGTGGTAAAAAAAAAATTTGAAGAAAACCTTCTTTTGTACATCTCGACAGTTTTCTCTACCTCAAAGAATGAAAAAAAAAATTGAAAGAAAATTTTTCTTGAACACCTTACAATTTTTCTTTGAACACCCAAATTCATTGACACTAAACATATTATAGGCAGACATCCCAAAAAAAATGAAAAAAAAAAATCCTGAATCCCACATTAAAGAAAGAATGAAACTATAAAACGAGACCAAAAAAAAAAAAATTCATGTGTTTCCGATTCAATCCATAGTGCAGCAGCTTAAGAATTGAACCCTATTCATATTTAGATATAACTGATAACTCCATCGCCATCGATCCGTGTTACTAGTCGGCAATTTGCCAGGCAAAGCTGAGCTAGAATGTTCAGATATATATATTCACAGAGATAATGAGTTAGTATATGCATGCCGAGTAAATATATACAGGAGTAACCTTACAGGCTTACAGGACTAATATAGCAATAGAGAAGCTGCGTTTTATTTCTCCTCGATAAACCAAGCTCGCATGACATAAGGCAAACATACTATCATACAAAGCCACTAAGACAGATTTTTTTTTCTTTTTTTTTTTTTAACATGGTTCATTTACAGAACTAAAACAGAAGCCGCGAGATTCAGTCATCATCCTCATCTTCTTCTTCATCCTCCTACAATTGCAAAAAGCCAACTGAAATCAGGATTTATAAGAGAAATGGATCTGCAAAACTTGAAAAGTTTAATAGCAGAAAATCAATATGATTGAGTCAATTATTGTCTGCAATATAAAGGAAATAGAATTTTATTACTGGTATGGTGTTACAACACACTGAATAAACTAATAAACCAACCAAAGTGTTGAAAAGTTTTGACACAAGAAATCCTTCACTCAAGCTACATCTTTAGACCAGCAAGCATACGCAATCAGACCAGAGATGACCATTAACCAAGGTTTCTGAGGGAAAATTTATAGTTGAGGTGTTTGTTGATAATTCCCAGGACAAAAGGCAATCCCAAAGTGCAGTAGCTAGGGCAACATTCATCCAGTAAATTTCAAACACAAAAAATTTTCACCCAAATACTAAGATGCAAAAAATAAGCTTGACTACTAGAAAATTGTGGACAGACTTTATCTTTTCAATCAATAACATTTGAACCTCATAGCTACCATGATCCCACCCCTTTTCCTGCTTCAGCAAATGCCCAAAGTAAAAATAAAGAGATGGAAGTAAATCACAATCGAAATAACATGCCCATTGATTAGGATGTAGTTGCGATGGATACAAACCAAATCTGCAGAATCTTTAGATATGTTGTTCAGAGCAACATATATACACAAGGATGTTCAATTGCAGCTTATAGGTCAAATAAACTAATCAGAAAAGTTTAGTGGATGATTAAACCAGAAAACACTATAGTTATGGAAAAAAAAATTACCATGTAATAGAGAACTGCTGCAAAAGTGAAAACTGAAAATTTTCACACAAGGTAGACAAGGCAAGCGCATAGCTTAAATAGGTTACCTCACTTTCTTCATCATCCTTGACATTCACCTGGGATTTTGATGTTTCAGACTCTGCTTCTTCCTCATCTTCGGTATTTTCCTGAGTTATACATAATAGAGTCAAGAGAGAAATCTAAAATAGGATGAATTATGCAATTTTTTCTCAAGTACGGAATGAACAGTTTACCAGTTTCTTTTTGTAGGCTTCCATGAGCTTCTCATATTCTGATTTCCTTTTTGCTGCTTTTGCTTCATATGGAGCTTTCTCCTACCAATTGCAACCCATAGAAGATTAGGTAAGGACTTAAGGCTGACTTTCAAAAAGTTAAGTGTCAAGCCACAAATAGAGAATGGACTTACTAACAACTTTATATTCCATTTCCCATAACTAGTTAATTTGACTAATTCATGTATGTGATAAATTTGCAACTTGCGACATCAATCAGAAGATGCATATCTCAAAATCCACCATCCAGCCCCATGCAATACCATATATCTAGGTCCCCTGTAGTTTATACCAGACTGGCATTGGCTTGACCATGCCATAATAGTTCCAAAGTCGATGAACAAGTGATTGGTGAATAGCCAGGTCCAGAGGAGCCACAGTGGAAGTTTTATGCATCACCTTTACAAACAGAATCCATGGTTTTTTCCAAGTTAAAGGTAAACATCGGAGGAGTGGTTGGCATAATTCATTGTCCATACACATCCCAACCAACACAAGTAATTTTTGGTGATATTGAGAACTTACTGCATTAGACATGGACTTCCACTTTTCTCCTCCCGCCTTGCCCACCTTCATCACAATATCCAGTAACAAAATCAATTTGACACTTCAGATGAAGAGAAATAAAAAATTTAAAAGCAACATTTTCCAAATTGAGCAAACACATGATAACAGATTGCTACTTACAGCTGAGACAGCCTTCACTTTTGGATGCTCTCGTTTGTAAATTATTCTAAACTCTTCTCTGCAACCAATTAATAGTTGAATGTGTTGCAGGTGGACTGAAATTTTGTCATTTTCGTGAAAAACTGTATTAAAGAAACTTACAGAAAAACAAAGAAAGCAGTGGGAGGTCTCTTGGGTTTGTTGGGGTCTTTCTTGGCCCATGTCTCATTCTTTGCGCGTTTTTGGTTACTCTTATCAGCTTGGAGTGCTGCCTTTCTCTTTCCAACGATCCTAAAAGAGGAGAAATTTACACATAACTCGTTTCTTGTTAAAATATAGAAAATGAAATAACCAGAATGAACTAAAATGAATTATAAGAATAATGCTTGAAACAATGACTCTTTGATCATCAATGACATGGTTAAGAAGACTCAGAAAAACAAAGTTACTCAGACATTACACAACATTTTTCAATTAGAACTTCTAAAGCAAAAGAAAATAACCTGTTCTCAACAGGCTTTACTGTTTCCTTGTTGTTGTCCTTCCTTGCAGCTGCTCTGCTCCTTGTTGCCTTCATTCTTACAAGAAAGCTTCCTGAAATAACATAAGTAAATCGCGGCGCATACGACAAACTGTCACTGAAAATCTAGATTTAATTGATCACAGTCAACATGGAAGACAATTTTGAACTAGCAATCTAGGATTAAAGTATCATTTTGCTTAAAGTAGTATTCTTTGTAACAAAGACCGCAAATTTTTAACAAAATGTCCTACCTTGGACCAAAAATTGTTGAAAAGTTCCCAAAAAAAGGGAATTTAAAAAAAAAAAACCAATAATTCCTGGGAAAACAAGTTGTCATGAGACATGAAGTCAACCATTGTTCCTTTCAACAACAGACACACAGAAAAAGAAAATCGGACCATAAAAGCAACAGAATTACCCAGATAAAGAAAACCTAGGAAAGCGAGCAAAAGTTATACAAGGGATATAAAACTAGATCAACCAGGATCATATGAAAAGAAATTTTTGCAAAGGAATAACTGTCAAAGCAAATAAATAGCAATAAAAAATGGTAAATATTAGATCAAACAATATGCATAAAATTGTAAAAGGAATAACATACCTCTTCGATGGAAGAGAAATGAAAAAAAAAACAAAGAAATTATAGAAAAAGCAGAGGAGAACAGGAAAGAAGTAAAACTAACTAAAAGCAAAGATAGACAGAGAGGAAGAAAGGAAGAGAGGAAGAGAGAGAAAGGAAAGAAAAGAAGGAACAATCGTAGGCGTCAAGAAGATATTTGTGGGAGAGTTCATTAAAGGCAACTTTTGGGAGCGGAGAGAGGGAAGTTGACTGTGGGTACATTTTGTCGCTTTTGTTTGGGGTTGTGTTCATCCTACTTGCAGAGCATCTAACATGTCTGACAGACCGGTTTCTCATTTGTTGGCATCAAAACCAAGTCTAACTGTTCGAAACTACTGTGCACTGTCTGATCTGACCTTTTGTCATTCTATTATTTTCATGGTGCAAATAATAGTTCCCCTCATTGTCAATTTTCTTCTGCTGCCTCTCTGATTCCTTCTTGCTGTAGAATTAAGCAAATGTGGAAATATTGGTCAACTTGATGTTAATCATGGGGAAAATGTTAAAAATATCAGCATGAACATCGAACAATTAAAATTAAGAATTTAATTAAATAGAATTCTGAAGATTGACAAAAAAACACCCAATCAAACGGACATGATTGAAGATTTGTTTTTAGTTCAGCGGATTAACTATTCAATTTCTTTCATGACAAACATATTGAATCTAATGAAAAGAGAGTTACAATTTCCTTTACCATGTAATGCTAGAAATATAGAAGAAAATATTTAGAGAATTTTCCTTTTGCAATTTTTTTAGTTCATTGATTCAATCTTGAGCACAAAAAAATTGTTTTCCATTGCAAAACATCCGTTTAAAAAGAATCCTTTAACTTGTGACGGAAAATGACATAACAAACCTAAAATAATACCCTTATAAATTATTAAGGTGAAAAACCACCGACCATCGAACCTCATTTAAAAATAAAAATGACAAAATAACTTATATTCGATAAATTTTAATTTATTTCAATTTGATAAAATTAAATTTAAAAAAAATATCGATCAAAGATTGGATCAAAGGTAAATCAATTTTTTTGTTAAATTTGAGGTTAGGTTGAAGTCAAGTTTTAAGTAGTAATGCCCCGACTTGAGCCAGTTATATATAAAAAATATATATATTTTATTATTTATTTAATTATTTATATATTATATTAATAAATTATTATTTAATATTTTAATTTAAGATATTAATTTAATAAAAATATTATATTTATGTATAATTAAAATATAATTTATATTAAAATAATATTTTATAAATATTATACTAATTTAAAATTATTAAATTAATTTTAATAGGATCCATTGTTGTTTATAAATATTTGAATTAGATATAAAAATTTAATATTTTAATACGAATGTAAATATTAAGGGATTGAATCAAAACAAATAAAAATCCCTTCTGACCCAACGCCATCCCTACCCACAAATGGAAACAAAAGCCCTAAAATTCCCATCCCCATCCATCAATTTAAAAAAAAAAAAAAAAAAGACAACAAAAATTTGAGAAAAAAAACGAAAAGGCATAAATTAGTAGGGTCAATACATGTTATTCCCTATGAGAGTAACAATATACTATATTTTACAAAGTTGGTCTACTTGTAGACCAAGATTCTATCCACCAGCACCACTGCCTAGTCCTCCGCTATGGTCACAGCCATCATCGCAGTTGCCGCAGCGTCACATTTTTTTTGGGGCACTTATCCACAACCCTAACCCAAGCTCTTGTAGAATCCAAGCCACCCTAACCCAAGCTCTGGTAGAATCCAAGCTAGCTTTTCCTTTGGCACCTAGAAAACACCATCACCACCCAAAAAAGCAGCCTCAAAACCACTATTTGACCTCTTTGTTTGGTGCAAATCCACCGGACTGGCTAGACGGGACAATGATCGGAGACCGAGGATTTGACCCTTTTGGCTTCAAACCCTTTTGGTACAACGCACTATATATGTTCCATGCAATTTCACGCATGTTGTTTATTATAAAAATACCAGAATTTAAATTATATTATGAACATAAAAAAATGTACAAAATATTTAGACAGTGGAAAGCTGTCTGCGAAATATCATGAATAGACCTAATAATTTATGTATTTATATCATAAAAAATAATAAAAATTCATGTAATTATATTATATTTTACGCAAAAATAATGTATTATAATTCTTGTCCACATAAAAAACACAAAACATAATTTTTGGTTTTTGTTAAATACATATATGTTTTTTGTTAAAATTTTAATTTTTATCACTTTCATATTTTTTTTCGTATTATTTTCATATTTTAGTATTGTATTGTATTTTAAATTATTTAGTCTAGTTGCAAATCAAGTTTTTATCATATCTATTCACTGTAAATTTTATCTTGTAAAATTTATTAAATAAAAATGAAAGGGAAAAAAATGAAAATGAAACGCGGATATCATATTTGCCGCTCCTTTCTTGTAAAACTAATCTAAAAAAATACTAAAAATAAAAATAACGTTAAAAGTGAGAAAAGGGTAAATGAGAAAGTAAAAAAAAAAACTAAAAATGAGTTAAAAAGGAAAAAAAAAAAAAAAGTAAAAGAGGGTGTTACATTGACATCTAATATCGAACTTAAAATATAATTTCTTAAATTAAGGTTAAAATTTTTTATTAATATAATAATATATATGTATTAAACTAAATAAATAATAAAATATATATTTTTATAAATATCTCAAAATGGATTGAGACAAAATATCATTAACACGTTTTCTAAAAGACTAAAAAAAGAAAGAAAAAATTAAATTCAGATGTCATGTTAACATCAACGTTAATATCAATTTTTTTAAAATTATCAAATTAAAAAGTAGCTAAAAATATATTTTTAATAAGAATATCTGAAAATATTTATCAAATAGAAAAGGAAAAATAGAAAATGAGAAAAATATAAAAACATTAAAAATATTAAAAATATTTGAAAATATTTATCAAATAAAAAAGAAAAATTTGTAGATAGAAAAAATTTGAAAAGCAAAAGTGCAAAAAAGAATCAAATTATTTTGCAAGTGACATTCTTTTGGTATCAAGTGTGTTATTAAAAAAATGAAATTTAAAAAATTATTTATTAAATATGTAAAAAGGAAAAATTAAAAATTAAAAAAAACAAAAAAAATACATGACATATCATTAGTATTTAGTGGGTCTAACAAAAACATAAAATATAAAAAAGATTAATTAAGTTTTTTTTTTTATAGAAAAGAAAAAAATTAGTATCAAATGGGTCCAAACTAAAAAAATAAAAAAAATCATTAATTAAATAAATATAAATAAAAAATCAACACTAAACAAAAAAATTAAAAAAAAAAAGATAAAAATGGGTCCCACAAACAATATAATTGAAAAGTAGGCTATACGTTTAAAAAAATTAATAAATCGAAAAAAACAGAAAACAAAGAAATGGATCTCATAAAAAAAACGTGGATCTCATTGAAATAAAAACATTATGTATATTAAATATAAAAATGTATAAAAAACAAACTATAAAATTGGGTTTCACAAAAAACAAAAAGCGGTGAATCTTACTAAAAAAATAAAAGTTTTATAATAAAATATATTAAAAATTAGAAAAACAAAATATAAAAAGTTAAAAAATATCTAATGGAAAAAATGGATCCCACCAATAAAAAGCAATGGTCCCACTCCAAAAAATAAAATTAATTTTATAACAAAATATATTAAAAAAAAAACTTAAACAAAATAAAAAAGTAAAACATAAAAAATTAAAAATTAAAAAAAATCCACAAAAAGTCAAAGTGTGGGTCCCCCTTAAAAAAAAAAAAAAAGTGAGGGATGCCAACATTACCTTGCCAAAAGCATTTATATTATAGGTTTTAAAAAAAATTCACTTATATTAGACAGTGATTAATTAACATCTATCGGATATGAATATTTTATTATCTTAGTCTCCACTAAATTTTTTGACAAAAATTATATAATAAAAAAAAAAAAAACAAAAGGTGTGCCTCGAAAAATAGAAAAAAAAAATAGATGACACATGTTTTGTCATCCATTCTTATCGGGTACAATTGTTTTCTCATCCTTTCCTCCATTAGTTTATTTTTTTTATAATATTTATTCAATAAAAAAAATTAAAAATAAGAAATAAAGAAAAGAAACTAAAGAAAGAATCCAAAAAATTTTTAAATGTTTAAAAAAATAATAATAAAGAAATGACCAAAAAATAAAAAAAATAAAAAAGTGCAATGTGAAATCATCCAAGCAAGTTAAAGGAAATTCAAAATTTGCACCATCTGTATATAGGATTCATTAATTCAAACAACCTCATCTCATAAAATTTTCAAAAAGAGGCATAATTTTAAAAGTTTACATATTAAAAATTAAATATAAAATTTGTTTAGTTGATTTGGCCAAATTCTTTCAATGGTCTGTTTTCATTTTTTTTTTTTTTTTGAGATGGCAACTTCAGTAGGTAAGTGATTGGAAATAATACATAAATAAATGGTATAGAATTATATATGAACTTTTCAATATGATTTGTTTATTACAATATTAATATGTAATTGAAACCTAAAAATGTAAATTTATGGTTTATTTTGGGAGCCCAGAAATATTTAAGAGCTAGACAGTGGGTGAGATCAGTGGAGGAAAAAGATTCATGTGCATCCTTACTATCGATTTTGCTACCGGGTCACCCTTCATTCATCATATTGTGCCACGTGACATCATCTCAAGTCCTTTTTTTTTTTTTTTGGTTTTTTTAGTGTTTTTTTCATTTTTTTATTTTTTTAAAAATTACGTATAAATTTATATATAAATTTTTTATTTTTTGATATGTTTCACTTCATCAAGCTTTTATCCTTTTTTTTTTTACAATTTTTTTCTTTTTTTCAATTCGTTATTGAATAAATTGTTTTTCTATAAGGATCTTAAATCGGGTATTATGTGACACTCTTTTATTTTTTTATTTTTTAAACTTTTGAAAAAAATTTAAAATTTTTTATTGTTTTTATTGCTTTTTTTAAATATTTAATAATTTTTTTCATTTATATTTTTTAAAAGTTGAACCTACCTTATATCAATCTTTCTTTTTTTTGCCTTTTTTCTTTTAAAAAAATTAATAATTTTTTAAAATTATAAAAAATATATAGTTGTAAAATTTGTAATTTTGTGTGTGGAACTCACTACTATCAAACTTTCCTTTTGCTTTTTTTATTTTACCCTTTTTCTTTATTCTTTTTTGAAATAAAAAAATAGTTAAAAATTTTCTCTTCTTTGGAAACACACTTAAATGATATGTGATCTAAAGTCTCATTTCT